GCTTACCCGCCCTGCTGTATGCAGCAAGTAAGGCGACCCGGCTGATGGCACCACGCGACGGCCGATGTGGCATGAGAATATTGTTAGGTGTGTAGGTCATGGTTGTACGAGTGCTGGGATACTGCCAGGGCGCCCACACCTAGACAGGAGGACGATTAGGTTCCTCAACCAAAGCCTTTGGCTCAAAAGCCTAACCGCAAGGCAGCGGTGTTTGGCGGGAAATGCAAATGCATTACCATTTCTACGGAACAAGTCCACACATGTCCCAACCTCCAACCTGGAGGGCCAGGAGACTGTGTTCGTCAGACCTCTAACCATTGACCAATCTGGTGTGAAAGACTCTGTGAGTGTCGCGGGACACTCTCCAGTATAGCTCAATGGATCGCTGAGGTGCGCAAACCGTCACACCACGGTAAGGTACAGTCTCTTCGTCCAGTCTCTTCCTCCGTTCACATGACATTCATCGATAATTGCCGTGAGCGGACTCAGCATCTGAAAATTAAGTACCACTTATCACGATAACAGTTAGACACCGGAATTAAGATGACAACGTGGAGTGTATGGCGACCAATATCTCCACTAGAAAAACTGACCCACTCCACCTGACGAATCATTACAGCAGCTGAGTTGCGCATAGAAGTCTACTAAAAAACCATGAGAAGTTTCACGATAAACAAAACGGAGGCATTATCCGGAAACAGTTGCACACTCTTATCTCGTGGTCACCGTTCCCCTGGGAAAAACCCGGCTACGTGCGAAAAGGCCGCAGTTAATGCAGTGTCACGCAGTCTTGAAAGACGAGTAACACTGAGCTGGTTGTAACCAGAAATACAGCAGGAGCCCTCGGACGCACGAATGTCACGATACCTCCATAGTAACCATTTCATTTGGAATCCAAAGGCTCAGTTGGACGAGAACTGCTTAAAAAATTAATACTCCGGGCCAACTGTACTCTTCAAAGATGAGTAAAGCCTCCCTCTGACAAGCCCCTAAGGATATGCATGGGGAGAGAAAAGTGCACATGATCGTTGCATGTCAACTACCGCCTGTTTGCCGGAAACAACTTCTTGTGACAACTAAAGGGGGGTCAGCCTAGCTTCAACCATGCCGAAGTTGGTAAGGGGTCTCACTATGCGTTTACTCAGACAATCAAGAACAAAATACTTTCAACCTGGTTGCGGTTGTACCACTGGAGGTTTAGCCAATTCACCAGCCGCCAAATGTTGTGTATACCTAGGTGGGAAAACTTTTCTGAATGTGCTATGGAACCGTTTACTTAAACGAATGCAAAAAAATGCCAATATCATATTAGCACCAAGCTTGTTAAAGGAGAATATCGTGAGCACGGGGATATTTTTTTCTAGTACCCCCATGTGGGGTCCGACGAGTGTATCTAGTCTCCTTCCATTTCATCTTAAATGATACCAATTCATGGGAATAGTGTTCCTTCTGAGCGATATGCTAACCGAAAAAAATGCATAAATTCCTTCCTTATCAGTTGTTCACATCCTGGACACAACGGCGTTTTCTTTCATAAAAGGGATGCTTTCAAGGGAATCTGCAGGGTGAAAATTCATGCCAAAAGGCTGGGTCCCGCAATACTGACTCTCCATATAGAAGGTAGTCCCCTCAAGATTGACCAGTCTATCCTACTTCGGATTCGTTATGAGGATGAACCGGATTGCTGCATCGTCAATAGCGGTGTCGAATAAGCATCAAACTGTCGCTCGGCTGTAGCGTTTATTGTTTGTGTGAGGTCATTTAGTAGCTTGGGTCGGTTGCTAAAAGGAAGCCTGAATGCCGAAAATTGTGGAAAAATTGTAAGCAGGTAAGTACAGGACTGACGTTTGGAGTCACCGTATGCTGTACGAACCACCCGCTATCGCAAACTATGGGTCAGTCGCATAAAAAGTACGTCGGACCAGCGTCTACAAGTGATTACCGCACTGCATATCTCATTCAGAATGACGTAAGCGCCGACGTGGACTACATATTACTTGTTAACTAGGCATCAAAGGGATGGTGAAGAGCTCAGGCCACCAACCGCAAGTCAGGCCGGGACTGTTGTAAAATGTGGCGATCAGTCAACGACACATGCTGTTCAGTTTGCAGTACGCAACCTGACTCTAATCACACTATTGTGTGGACACGTATATCAACACACTTTTCCTCGGAAATACAAGGCCATTTAGTTCACCGCTGTCTATAGTCCAACAATACCGGAATGAGTTAACTGAGGAGCTCCCCGAGCTAAACGGGCGCTAGTGCAGAAAGGATAGTTGAGTGGCAATTGATAAAAGATGAGGCCATACTCGCAGACTTAAAAATTTATGTCCGATGTTGCTTGACCAGTCCAATGAACCCTGGGTCTCATTGATGCCATAATACCAGCAATAGACTACTGCGATCGCGCACACACAGTGAGGAGCCTGAGAATTGACAGAGGGCGCTGGTGAATAGCTAGGGTTAACGGAACGGTCTCTGGAAAAGACGAGAACTCCATCCATTCACAGGAACGTCGTCTTGAGCGATCGGCTTAACACTCTGAAGAGCAGTTCAGCTGGCACTCATCAGCTCAACCTCTCGGAGAACCATACGGACCTGAACCGAACGTCGATATACCAGTTTCAAACGGAAGCCCAGTGTGATGTTTGATTGCTTCAGCATAACAATGCATTCGGACAAGATAGTTTTCATCCTGTATTCTCCAAAGAAAACAATGAAATCCTCTGGCTAGTCTGTTGGTTATACCTCCAAAACACCTAGAATGAGGACGAAATACCGGAAGAACGGTGCTTCCACGGTAATTCTCATCGTAGTATACGGTGTCTGCCAGTTTGGTTGATTTATAAGTACTGATGATGTATGACCTTGCTTGCTGGGCTTCGGCTCATGATCTTTGTTATATCTAACTGCTTTTCCCCACTTCAGTGCCTGGTGCCCGAAAAAGACTCACCGATAAGGAACACAACTTTATTGCAGCAAGCGAGTGCGAAAGTTACAACGGGCCCACACTATATAAAGGGCACTTTCTAACATTGATAGGTGTTTAGTGAACACCCATCAGCATCGATCGTGCTTCTATGAAACGCCTGAAAGCTGGTCATATTGGGTCGTGCTTCTGTGGCGTGCCTGAACACTCAACGGCTTTTGCTGAGTTGATTGAGTGATTGACTAGCCTGGATGCTTGCCGACTTCCCTAGTGAGATTTTGGGGGAGTCTTAGGGTCCCAGTAGGTTTTGGGTTACTTTCAGGAATCTGACCTTCCTGACAATCTTTCTTTCTGTTTTCCATCCACAGAAATCGTCGTAGGCGCTTACCTCCAGAAAATCATTGTCCCTTGGTGCTTCAGTGGCGTGCATACTACACTTTTGGCGACCACGCCAGGATGGTTACCACACTAGTGGGCCTACCACAAGGACCCCGGCTATACACAGGTGCACACAAGCCTCAAAAACACGGTGTGTGAACCATCAGGGCATTAACCTAACGATTGTGGGTATTCTTACACGCATGTTGAACCTTCATCGGAAGTCAGGTTTCAGATCTCAACATGGTCGGAGTCACTATAAATATTGGGACTGTGCTTCTGTTTCCGGCAATCAGCGACAACAGCTTTTCTAGGTCTGAAAACTGTTTTGGCTCGACTGATAGTCAGACACTTCGGCAGTTTTTTGTAATGGTGTCCTATCTTGATTTCTTATTTATAACGCAAATATGAATTCCTAAGGCTGATGTTGCAATTATTGGGCATTCCCACTCCTCTCGGCCTGATACGGCATGCAAAATACCTTCTGAAAGGCTATCGAATTCCAAACGGGGCCCACACCCTGTTTGTTGGCTTCGTTAGGAATGGCACTTTTCACGCCACTGTCCCTACCAAAACTTCACTCAATGCATCAGCATTGCAAACTAAGGTGGCCGGGACCTGTGTTACCGCCTTCCGAGATATGCGCTGCATCCCGTGCCTAACCCGGGGTGGCGAAAACCCAAATGTGGACATAATATGATATGGTAGAATGGAATGAAGGATTAAACGAAAAGCTTGGGCACTGTTCGCCTTCCGACATGGGGCGCACCCGAGCCTCCCCATGCTTGGCTGAGGACAACGGACGAAATGGCGGCCAACCGATGTCAGTGTACCCCATGCCGTTACTTTGTATTCGGACTGTCTAACAGGGTGTTGTAAGCGTGGGCACTTCCCTTGTTTGTGGTAGGTCGTCACTGACCTCCCTCCCCGTCATATTTTTCTTTTTTCTATCACTGATCGTTCAGCTGTTAGGCCCTAGCTGCTATGCCACACGAAGGGAGCACGAGAGCTGGGATACTGCCAGCTTGCCCAAACCTAGACAGGGAAAGTTGAGAGGCAGAGGTCGGGTTCAAAACACGGACCAAACGGTCAGTGAATTCGTCCTCTAACCACTGAGCCATCTCGCCCCCCCCCATCTTATCCACAAGTAAGAAACTAGTTCAGTTCACTTTCCTTTGAACTTGGCTGGTGAAGTTGCAAAAAGTCTCCAACAGAGATCGGTGGCGATCTTTGTTACATTCTGTCCAACACTTGAAAGTCAAGACACCGAAGAGTGGTCGCAGACCGGTATTTGGACCATCATCATGCACAGCATAACATCAGTGCTTGATACGGATGCTTAACTGCCACACATTAGATCCGTGTCGCCAAATTTTCTTTTTTCCGCATTTTTCACATAAACTATGGTTGGACGACAGCGATAGGCCGGTGGCAACATTGATGTCGCTGCTCATGGCTACCCACAAGGACAGTGGCAGAGGACAGGAGGTACTCTGGAACAGACAGAGGACCGCTCCCAGGTGAATCCTGACATCATAGATAGGCGAACAATCCCCTAACCTTTTTGGATAAAGGGGTGACTGCATATCAGCTATTTTGAATAAGCGGCTGTAAGTACCGGTGGAACGTCATAGTGCCAAATGACGGTGCAATGGCAAAGGTTAGCACCCTTATCTGCAAAGTTGTCTACCCGGGATAAAAGGCAAAAGGGGAGGCGCAGAAACAGATCCATCGTGTTGGGCTCATTGCAGCGACTGCCACAGTCACTCTAAGGGTGGACCTTCTCACTAAACTGCCACATACTAATCCTCGAAAAAGGCTACATGAACGACGAGGCTCCAGTCTACCAAAACGAATAAATATCAATCGTATGCCAAGGGTGCCTACCGATATGTGCATCGATATATGCACCTTGCATGGTTCCGACTATCCTAAACGTGGGCAACCTACAACCGCCGTCACCAGCTGCGTAAGAGTGAATCCTGTGCTTCGCCCTAATCTTGCGGGTGAAAGGGTGAGAATGAAACTTCTCAATAAAACGACCCGCTTCAGGCTGAGTACCAGGTAGCATCCCAACCTCCAAACAAATCAGGAAAACTTATCATCATATCATTCAGTGGAACATTAATCGGTTGCATACGCCCGTTGTGGCAGAGCGGGTGGGGGTCGATGACTGGGAACTCCTGGCAGGCGGACCAACCAATTTACACAACCAAGGTACGTTACTGGGTTGTCATTCGAGGCGTTGAGCGAGCCAATTACATTGCTCAAGCGTGAAAACGCCCGCTCAGACCTGGGAATTCAAGTATGTTCAGCGGGCACCGATGGAGTGGTGGTCGTATGCCTGCTTCGCATTTCAGGTGTGCGGATTTTTAGTCTCGGTACGACGGCGGATATCTACAGCCAATAAGCTCTAGTAAGAAACTCGAGTCCAGCGCTTCCCCACTTTGGTGTGGATTCACTAGAATCACTACACCAGGACAGGGCAACTGTTCAAACGAGTGATGGGAACGTGCATTCTACAAATCCCGCAACCACTCACAATCACTGGGTATTATGATACCCTAGCAACGCACCCCAAGCTGTATTGCAGGATCCAATCTTCAAGGACAACACAAAGACACACACTTGTACACTGCATGTATCTCTACCCGTTCAAATCATACGATTGGCCTTTGACGCACTGAAGCTCTAGTAAAACCTCGAGTCCAGCGCTTCCCCACTTTGGTGTGGATTCACTAGAATCACTACACCAGGACAGGGCAACTGTTCAAACGAGTGATGGGAACGTGCATTCTACAAATCCCGCAACCACTCACAATCACTGGGTATTATGATACCCTAGCAACGCACCCCAAGCTGTATTGCAGGATCCAATCTTCAAGGACAACACAAAGACACACACTTGTACACTGCATGTATCTCTACCCGTTCAAATCATACGATTGGCCTTTGACGCACTGAAAACTGTCATCAGAAGAACCGTCAGCTCATCAGTGTGTAATTTATTTGACCCATTTTCCACTCATCGACCATCAATAACGCACAGATGAATAAGCTGATGATGATGGTAGTGTCCACAACACTCCTGCAGTGGACATCCTTAAAGCTCAGGGTAACCCCTATGGCCATCCGGAACAAAATGAGCAGTTACGATACGAAACATACCAGGCTGACCTATCAACAAGCACGTCCACCACCAGCCGGGATTAGGAAAGCGAGTCAACCCCTTGAGATTTTTCATCAGGATCACAGCGCGTCACTATGTGCGTGAGTGGTTACTGAGATGGAGATCGTTGAATTTTCGAAACCATGTCAAAGGTCTGATGTGAGTTCAGTCGATGGTCCACTCCAGGGAGTTGGTAACTGTCCACCACATTGAGTTTACTGATTAATGTTTTTATGATTCGTTGCCGGGTCATCCACCGTCCACCTCTCAGTCGCTTTCACTCAACATAGGGCTAGACGGAAAGGGCTCTGTGAGAGAGACGATCCTTCTAGCAAGTGAAGGACATATCCTAAGCAGCGTAAACTGCGGGGCCTAATTTATCTACCGCGGAAGAGCTCCTTATTCCTAAAACCATCAGCATTACTCATCCTATGTTCCAACAAGACCTAACCAGTGCTTCGGAGACATCGATGGTCAAATACTGACAGTTTCTGTATGTCCTGCGCGTGTAGAGACCGCATTTCTGATCCATGAAGCGGTATGCAAAGCACTGTCACGGTGCAAACTCTGCCCTTAGTAGACAAATTGACGGCACGCTTGTGCCATAGGTGTCGCACATTGACAAAAGCCGCCCTGACATTCCTGATTTCAGAAGTAGTCTTGTCTCCAGCCAGTCCACCGGAACCATACCAAGAAGGCCAACAGTGAGCAGCCCAATGAGCAACACTGAAACCGCATTTAGAGGTGGTCTGGTGGTAGATTCGGGGTAGATTCTTCTGCGATAGAAATGTGAAGGCAGTTAGTCGCTTGCCTAACGCGACTAGTATTTCCAAATTTACGACAGCAAACTGGGTCGGGTCGTCAACTGCTGCCTGCATGGATAAGGACCCCGGGACTCAACTCACATATGGTTAATGGTAGTGGCGGAAATGGCCTACTCGCGCAGTCAATGGCGCCCGTGCATCAAAGCTATCGCCTCCTAGAGGTAGCCACCCAATTCCGGAATAACTGAACACGCCATCGCCTCCAGTGCTTGGCTGTACCTCTCACGATCTCCAAATTTCTGGTGATCGAAGCTGCAGAAGCTGGAGCCAGTGTATGCATGGCACATAGTTTTTAGATGAGATACGTGCGAGACTCGTTACATGGTCTGTTATAGTACCATAAGAAGTGAGAGGGAGAAGTGTTCAGCTGTAGCATCTTTCCAGTGCCTAGCTGCCATGCTACCCGAAGGAAGCACGAGGGCTGGAATACTGTCAGGTTGCCCAAGCCTAGACAGGGGAAGCCGAGAGGCGGAGGTTGGATTCGAACCACGGACCTTCCGGTCAGTAAATTCGTGCTCTTACCACTTGGGCCATCTCGCCCCCAAAACTACGACGTCATGCTACAGAACACATAGTCTGTGAGCATGCTTCTAAGAATCCGAGGGGGGACACTGGAAGTTATGGAATTATTTAGTACCATAAGAGTACGTAAAGAATTCTGTAACTTCCAGTGTCCCTCCTCGGATCGTTAGAAGCGTGCTCACTGACTGTATGTCCTGTAGCACGAAGTCGTCGTTTGTGCGTGCGAAGCACAACACAAAGGGTTGATGACTATGGTCAGCTTTTCAAATGTTTGCGCCTCCGGCTGTTCAGAAATGAGAACAGTACGTCTGCATACTTCAGGTCAATAAAGTTTTCGCTCACCGGGGTCATGCGGACACTTCAGTGTTCGACCCATAATCCCACCAATGATGAAACTAAATCCAAATGGAAAGAGTTCACTGCTTGTAGAATTTTTTGAGAGCTCCCCATACAGTTTCAGGTGTACGAATACAAACAGCACATGATATTATCGAACTCCTGGGGCAAAAATTTTTACCCAAGCGTGTTTAAAAGAACGAACCAGTTGACGGAGTCGAACGCACTCTTGAAGTCCAGGTACACCACGACTGCATAGCTCTTATGCACATGCCGCTTCTCTAACATTTCAGTGTGAAGATGTAGTCCACGCATCCCTTTGCCGAGCGGAATCATGCCTGTCGCCTCCGGTCGGTTTCACGCTCAAGACAAGGCAAAATAGGCGGTGCAAGATGGCGATAAAGGGGGACAAGCAGATTCTTCTGTGAGTGCCACACCCACTGTGAGCCCCCTATGGACACCACTGTCGACTCAACTCATTTGGTTGAGGTCTTTCGCCCAGATACAGGGAAGTAGGTTAGACGAGCAGCGACTAAGGATTTCACCTCCATTATTGAACGGAGATGGGGGAGGTCCATCAGGATGGTAGCTCAGTGGCGCTTGAGGGATAAAAAGCACACACTTCCGAAATCGTGGGGGGTTCCGAATTCGCTGTCCAGGGTTGCAATGCATGTCAAGAACCCAGTTGAACAAGTGCAAGCGGCCAATGGAATTGTTTCAAACCAGGACACAAAGCAAGAGTGGAAACATAAAATCTGACAAATAATCGCGAACATATCATTGCATGCTTGCCAACATTAAGTACCTAATGCAGTGAAGACTAGTTTTCACCTTCTCAAGAATGGGTGGACGTGACACAACTCTGATAAGCGTTGTTATTCTTTGGATGCAGGTGCTAAGTGGCGGTCAAAAGTCTGGGAGCTACCGGACGGTACCTCCGCTGTGTCGATCCGGGTATTCTAAATGATGTAGGCCATTAAGAAAAATCAACTAAGTGCGGCAGTAGCAATGCTAAGGTGGTTCAGCAAGACCGCCGATCAAGCTGAAAGCTGCCTGATAGTGGCACACTGGGGAAAATCGGCTGCTGCAACTAAGGGGGCGTTAGCCTTGCTCCAGTTGTAACACGGCGACTAGAGAGAACTCTGTGAATACCAGGAATTGTCCACTTACGGAGTGCGTCATCGCATTAATTCAGATGGTTCAGCAGCTTTACGCGCACCGCCGATCGGCTGTGGAGTTTTGTCTTGACTTCAAAAAAGCCTTCGGCT